GAAGATTCAAATACCATCTTAGGTGGTGTTTGAGCCAGTTTGGATAATGGATTAAGAGAAAAAAAAATCACCTATCAACATGATTCTCTTTTGGATATTAGAGGTTAGTCGATTTCTTCTGCCTTCCATTATCATCTCCCTCTCACTCATTTTAATATTTTATCGTAACCCTGCACTCATTTTGCTAATCACAATCCCAACCCTCTTAACATACTATAAAAAAAATCATAGAACAAGTTTAATAATATAATAACTACTAGCTTAAAAAATTAAGGCATTATATATGACCAACCTAATAGTTTACTCATGGAATACTAAGTAATATATAGATATAGACATATTGTATCATTAATATCTAACACACTTATCTCTCTCACACAGTATATTGAAGTTTGTGCTGTACGGTTGACTATAAATTTAGAGCTCGTTTTTCTTCTCTCTCCTCCACATAAATACAAGTATGATGTGATAACTTGTACGCCTCATTTATACTTATAGTATCAGCTTATTGTACCCGCTCTTTTTTTAAAGGTTAAGCAACTGATTTCTCCTTTGAAACAACAGAATTTTAGAATGTTTCTTATAGGACTAAATGGCTAAAACTCTCGCAAAAATCGTTTAAATTCTGTGCATTGGTATGATCATGCCATGAGGCTATTGAGGGTGCATGCAAACAGGGTGACTCATTAGCACACGATCAACTAAGTATTAGCTATAAAAACCTTGAAAAATGGCCGGTTTAATATGTTTTTCTAAAAATAATTTCTATATAACCTTTTTTAATATACAATGCTTAGATGTTCGGAAAACGTACGTGCGAAAGACGAGGGAGTAGAAATTAAGGAGCGTGTACTACAAAACACACCATGAGCAGACCATATAAATATGTTAGTGCCAAGACGGTAAGTTTGGCATGTTTGTATGGATATACTCTAAGAGCAAGTTTAATAGTATAGCCAACTACTAGCTTTAATTTATCTATAACCAATCTAATAGCTTATCCAAGCCAACTACTAGCTTTAATTTATCTATAACCAATCTAATAGCTTATCCATACAATAGTTACATACTACACTATTAATACCTGGTCCCACCTGTCATACACACACTGCGTCTTGAAATCTGTGCTACAGCTGGCTATAAATATATAGCCCGCTGCTCTTTTCTCTTCTTATTTATCTTCTTAAATTATATTTACAGCTGGTTTATAGCCTACTATTGTACCTGCTCTGAAACGTTTATTTTTATGAAAATACTAGGATGAACGGACGAGCACGCTACATGCTAGTATACTACTAGTAGTGAGCATTGTGTTTCCACGATGCAGAGCTGACAAAATGATTAGCAAATTATCACCAATGTGTCAAGTGGACGCAACACACACGTACTAGTAGTACAAAACACACAAATGGCGTTTGATGATGAGGACGTCGATCGAACAAGCTAGCTTACAGAAGACATGCTCCAGGATCGATTTATAATTAGCTGGACAAATCGCGGGATTTCCTTGAACATCCCAACTAATCGTACCATATATCCTAGCTACTCGATCGTGACTAACATCGTCCACTCGTCTTGTTGAGTCTTTGCCTAGGGTCTTTCGGAAAAAAAAAGTCTTTGCCGAGTGGTACATCCTCATTCAAAGAATCAACTTTAGGTATGATTCTAGATCCAAATTTATCCTTAGAAATTGATTCTTTTTCAAATGGAGATAGTAACATAGTAATTCCTCCGTTCTAAAATATAAACATTTTTAGAAAAGTAACAAGTCAAACATTTTTTATTTTAACCATTAATAGGGAAAAAAAATCAATCATGTAAAATTGATGTTACTAGATTTATTATTGAACAAACTATTCTAATATGCAACTTTTTTATTTAAAATATCTTACTTTTATAGATATTGTTGATCAAAGTAGCATCTCGGAGACCATATGTCAGGATAAAAAATACTTATATTTTGGAACGGAGGGAGTAGTTGTAGTATGATGGACTTCCCTAGATACTTAATACTATTATCAGTTTCGGATATCTGTTTAGTATACAGTCGCCCGAATTAAATAATACTAGATTCTTAATTTTTAAGAGCAATTTAGAAGGATCCACTATTGGAAAAACATAAGAAGGGTGAGATTGCTTTTTGTCAGCTCCACAACTAAGCTATTTCAGACATTAAAACTCTGCCAAACACAGAGATTTGAAACTCTACCAAATATATATGCTAACTCAAGACTGTCATACTATTTCCACCTATATATTCATGGTTTTATGATAAGAGGGAGAGCACGGAGGACCAACGTATATCTTCCCGACATTTTCCCAAACGGCCGATTGCATATTTGCATGCCCACACAAAAGTTATTACTCTTCGCAAGGAAACAATTTTTTTTACACTAGCCGTATGTTTAGTTCGTGTGCCAATTCTTTTTAAATATATGGACACACATTTGAAGTATTAAATGTAGACTAATAACAAAACAAGTTACAGATTCCACCTGTAAACTGCGAGACAAATTTATTAAGCCTAATTAATTTGTCATTAGCAAATGTTTACTGTAGCATCACATTATCAAATCATGGCGTAATTAGGCTCAAAAGATTCGTCTCCCAATTTACATGTAAACTGTGCAATTGATTTTTTTTCGTCCATATTTAATGCTCCATATATGTGTCAAACATTTAATGTGACGGAATTTTTTGAAGTTTGAAGGGAACTAAACCCTGCCACTGTTAAAAAAAACAATATTCTACTAGTATTTTTTTTTCTCCAATAGAAGAACTGATATTTTTTTTTGACGCACTTGAAAAACACCAGCTGCTTTGCTAGCTGAGCAACCAGAGGCCAGAGCAGCAGCAGCAGCAGCAGCAGAACGAGAGCCGCCGCGCCGCGTGCGTTTCGTTTTTTTGCTTTCCCACTCCCGAGACGCCGCAGAGCGCACCTCGCTCTTCGTGCTGCTGCTGCTCGCCTCGCCGCCGCCGCCGCCGCCGCCGGAGTAGCCGAGCTTGTGTGCGTGGTTCATCTGGCAAGAGCTAGCGCCGAACCCCGCGGCGCCGGCGCGGCGGTCGTGCCATGCGTGGAGGAGGAGGAGGAGGAGGACTCTGAAGTGAACTGCCATGGCGAGCATGAAGCAGCAGCAGACGCCGGCGAGCTCCGCGGTGACCGCGGCGGCGGCGGCCTCCTCCTCCGCCACCGCCGCCGTGGCCGCATGCGAAGGTATACTGCTTTTTTTTTTCTCTTCTCCTCGCTCGTCTGGTGGCGGTGGCTGACGCGGCGGCTGCGGCGGTGCAGGGGAGCGGAAGGCGGCGGCGATCAACTCGGAGCTGTGGCACGCGTGCGCCGGCCCGCTCGTGTCGCTGCCGCCGGTGGGCAGCCTCGTCGTCTACTTCCCGCAAGGCCACAGCGAGCAGGTCATCATCATCTCTCTCTCTCTCTCTCTCCTCTTCTTCCATCATCGACCTAGTTTGATCGAAGACTTCTTCAGTTCTTGCTGTTTAATCTCTGCTGTATTTTGGATGCTCTCTCCTCTCCTCTAGTATAATGTTAATCTGATGCTGCTGCTCATGGCAAGGTTGAAAATTTGTGGTCTTTTTTGTGCGTTTTGAGGTGAAACTCTCAGATTTCTGTGGGTTGTTCAATGGGAATTTTTTTTCTTTTGGTTAATTACAGAAAAGAACTTTTCTTTATTTCTTTCTGTATGTACTGTTGCAGTGATTGATACAGTGCAACGATCCTTCTCAGAGCAAATGTTTTACTTACACCCCAAATAAACTTTTGGCTTTGGATATTTGATCTCCTATGGAAGATAATTTTTTTATAACAAAAGAGTTGAAGAGTATTTCTCACATGATGCATTGTTCACTGCTAATGTATGTGAGGATTTTACTTGCTAGCAGAGACATCTCTGCTTGTATGTAGCTACTAATAACTGTACTTGTTCATTACCAAAGTGGTTGGGAGCATTGGGCCTACTGGCTTCCCTTTTCTGTTGCCCTACTAGTATGGTGAGTACTGTTTCGATGTTAATGTGGTTTGGTCTCCATGAAGCATCTTATGGGATTTGGATTTCTTGCATCCATGACCCTGAGATGGATCATTTCTAGTCCAACCGATTGTAATAAATAAATACTCCTACTTGTTTTGAGAAATTTTGTCAAATGGTAAGGTATGGTGCTCTGATTGAAAAAATAAATAATTAATTATTAGGTCAATAGACAGTCTTGGGAGGACTAATCCTGCAATTATTCGTGCATTTCTTTTTAGAAAGATGAGAAAAAAGGTCCTTTTTCATGAATGATATTTGGTTGCGCTGCACATGATGGTAATTGTACTTATGCGAGTTTATCTAAAAAAAGTTCACTCATGAACCGCACTTTCTGGACTGGACACTACGAAACTTCATTTTTTTATTGAAATTTTGTTGACAGGTGTACAAAAGTAACATAGTATGTTTGAAAGGTTGTACTTTCTTAAATTTTTATGAGATGGTTATCGAGTGCTAGTTTACAGAGTAGTGCAGTAGTACTTTTCTTTTTCCACTTCCATGTTCTTGAGCACAAAACCTTTTTTTTCAGTTTGAAAAAAGTGGATGTTGATCCACATATACTGGCTACTTGGTTCAGCTGACTGCATTTTTCATTGTTTCAGATATTAAGAAATGCTTTCTCCATGCTATTGGAAACAGCAGAATATCTACTTAATCTAAGCTTTTTGTTTCAGGTTGCAGCTTCTATGCAAAAGGATGTGGATGCACATGTTCCAAGCTACCCAAATCTTCCCTCCAAGTTGATATGTCTTCTTCACGGTGTCAATTTGCATGTACCTAAAGCTACTTGCCTTCCATTTTCTCTTTGCTTTAAGAACTAGCAATCAGCAATACTAAAATCATTATCTTTACCTATCAGGCAGACCCAGATACTGATGAAGTTTATGCACAGATGACTCTTCAACCAGTGAATACAGTGAGCAAACAAAAAATTGTGGTTTCCGCAAAAGTTCCTAGTCTGTTCAAATGCACTCATCAATTGCTTTTATCAGTATGGAAAAGAGGCGTTGCAAATATCAGAGCTTGCACTAAAACAAGCAAGGCCACAAATGGAATTCTTCTGTAAGACACTCACCGCAAGTGATACAAGTACACATGGAGGATTCTCTGTGCCTCGCCGTGCCGCAGAGAAGATATTCCCTCCCCTGGTATGTAGGCTTCATATCTTCTGATTTTCTGCAACAAAAGATCTGTTCTTAGCACCATTGTAATTTTGCCACTCTGCACTGTAGGACTTCTCTATGCAACCTCCAGCTCAAGAACTGCAAGCTAGAGATATACATGACAATGTGTGGACATTTCGTCATATATATCGAGGTGTGGAAAATTTAACATTCAGTATAACATTCTTTGTAAAATGGCAGGATAAATGAGATTCTCCATGCATCTAGTATCTACTTTTGTTCTGGATAGCCCCTCCATTGACCTTGGTAAGGCAGAGTATGCCTTTGCAGTTTCGGAAATTGAATTTGATCTATAGTTTTCCTATAATAATACCAACATGGGTACCACTTCTGCATCAGTTTTCTATTATTAAGCTAATTAATAGTGAACGATAATGTCTGTCTTATGGTTTATAAAAGTTAACAGAGGTCCCTAGTTCTATACTTCTATTGAATGTCTTTGATGCGTATATGTAAAGTTTGGAGACAGTTAATTATTTCTGTGCTTTGTGTTATCAGGTCAACCAAAAAGACATTTACTTACTACTGGTTGGAGCCTTTTCGTGAGTGGCAAGAGGTTATTTGCTGGTGATTCTGTTATTGTTGTGAGGTGAACTCCATGCTTCTTTCCTTAGTTCCATCTAATAAAAGCTTCTCCTAGTTTAGGTACAGAATAAACAGCAAAATCCAAGATGTAAATGCCCCCTTTTTTTTTTATTGTCATGTTATTTTCAGGGATGAAAAGCATCAACTTCTACTAGGAATCAGGCGTGCTAACAGACAACCGACTAATATATCATCTTCAGTACTTTCAAGCGACAGTATGCACATAGGAGTCCTTGCTGCGGCTGCCCATGCTGCTGCCAACAGTAGCCCTTTTACCATATTTTATAACCCTAGGTTTGCGTGCTGACTTTATACTCCTGTCTGTATTGTTTACTGTACATTCAATAGCTAAGTTGTATAGACAAAACTGAATAGCTCTGAGTATTGTGTTTTGACGTGTATGAACTTTCAGGGCCAGTCCTACTGAATTTGTTATCCCATTTGCAAAATACCAGAAGGCACTGTATAGTAATCAGATATCTTTAGGAATGCGGTTTCGCATGATGTTTGAAACCGAGGAATTAGGAACAAGAAGGTACGCTGGCATTTATTATCCGTAAAACACATACTTTTGAAACATAATGAGATTCATGCATTTTGCTTTCTTTTTAAAACATGGAGAAAAAAAAATCATGGCTATGTTGTCCGTATAGGTAAATATCTACCTTTTCAGGTACATGGGTACAATAACTGGAATAAGTGACCTAGATCCTGTGAGATGGAAAAACTCCCAATGGCGCAATTTACAGGTTGAATTCCTGAATACCTTTCAAGTTGTGTTAATCTTTTTCCACCCTTCATTTTTCTTCCATTTCGCTGATTTGATTTCTATAGGTTGGCTGGGATGAGTCTGCAGCTGGTGAAAGGAGGAACAGAGTTTCAATCTGGGAGATTGAACCGGTTGCAGCTCCCTTTTTTCTATGTCCCCAACCTTTTTTTGGTGTGAAGCGCCCCAGGCAATTAGGTATGACTGATATTAGTATGTTCAACAAGAATACTCAACACTGATTTCCTTCAAATGGCCTCTGAACATTTGGTTGCAAATACCTTTCCTTAATTTAAACAGTATGCGCATATACTAGTTTGGTACTTCTCTGCTCATATTTTTTACTTATTCTATGTGTGCTGGAAACAATTGGTCTGCATATTTGTTAAACATTAGACATCGATGCGGAATTACTTAATGGGTTATTGTGTATGGTTATAGTAGACTGAACAGGATAACAAGTGTATAAATTTCGAAACCAGGATTGCTATAGGCTAATTACATTATCGCATTAGCATATGTTTTTTTTATGGTAGTATATTTCATATTCTTTTATCTGAATTAACAGATGACGAGTCAGAGATGGAAAACCTTTTCAAGAGGGCAATGCCTTGGCTTGGTGAGGAGGTATGCATAAAGGATACTCAAAACCAGAACAGTACAGCACCTGGTCTAAGTTTGGTTCAGTGGATGAACATGAACAGGCAGCAGAGCTCATCATTGGCTAACACCGCTGCGCAGTCTGAGTACCTGCAAGCTCTAGGTAACCCTGCCATGCAAAACCTTGCTGCTGATGAACTTGCAAGGCAACTATATGTCCAGAACAATCTCCTTCAACAGAACTGCATACAGTTTAATTCTCCCAAGCTCCCTCAGCAAATGCAAACCATGAACGATCTGTCCAAGGCGGCAATTCCGTTGAATCAGCTTGGTGCTATCATCAATCCTCAAGATCAGAAACAAGATGCTGTCAACCATCAGAGACAGCAGAACTCCATACAAGTGATTCCCCTGAGCCAAGCTCAATCTAATCTCGTCCAGGCTCAGGTGATTGTTCAGAATCAGATGCAACAGCAGAAGCCATCTCCAACTCAAAACCCGCAAAGGATTAATGGCCAGCGGCTGCTTTTGTCTCATCAACAGAAGGATCAAAATTTACAGCTGCAACAGCAGCTTTTACTTCAGCAAAAACAACAGTTACAGCAGCAGCAGCAGCAGCAACAACAGAATCAGCAGCAGCTAAATAAGTCCCTTGGACAGTTGGTAAATCTGGCAAGTCAGCAGTCTAAGTTGTTTGATGAGGAGCTTCAGTTGCAGATATTACAGAAACTGCAGCAGCAATCACTGATGTCACAATCCACATCAACACTCTCACAGCCACCTCTGATCCAAGAACAGCAAAAGTTAATCACGGACATGCAAAAGCAGTTGTCAAATTCACATTCACTTGCTCAGCAACAAATGATGCCCCAACAAGAAATCAAGCCTTCATTGCAAGCAACACCATTGCTACCCACGGTCCAGCAAGAGCAACAGCAGAAGCTTTTACAGAAACAAGTCTCACTTGCAGATGTGTCAGGAGTTGCTTTTCAACCAATTTCATCAACCAATGTGATCCCCAAAACTGGAGGTGCTATGATCATTTCGGGTGCTACACAATCTGTAGTTACAGAGGAAATGCCCTCTTGTTCAACATCTCCATCCACAGCTAATGGAAACCACTTTACACAATCAACCAAAAACAGACATTGCATCAACACAGAAAGGCTGCCACCGTCCACTGCTCCAATGTTGATCCCAACCTCCATTGACGCTGTAACAGCAACTCCACTAATGACCAAGGAATTGCCAAAGCCGAATAATAATGTGAAGCAAAGTGTTGTCAACTCAAAATTACCAAATGTTGCTCCTGGCCCACAAAATTGTATAAACCATGCATTGCAAACAGACAACTTGGAAACATCTTCATCAGCAACTTCATTATGTCCTTCCCGAACAGATGGACTTGTGCATCAAGGTTTCCCCTCTTCTAACTTCAATCAACACCAGATGTTCAAAGATGCACTTCCTGATGTAGAAATGGAAGGTGTGGATCCAAGTAACAGTGGCTTGTTTGGGATCAACAATGATAACCTGTTAGGATTCCCAATAGAAACAGAGGACTTGCTGATAAATGCACTTGATTCTGTCAAGTATCAGAATCACATATCAACTGATGTTGAAAACAACTACCCGATGCAAAAGGATGCTCTGCAAGAAATATCAACCTCCATGGTTTCCCAGTCATTTGGTCAGTCGGATATGGCTTTTAATTCCATTGATTCTGCGATCAATGATGGTGCCTTCTTGAACAAAAATTCCTGGCCCGCTGCCCCTCTGCTGCAGAGAATGCGGACATTCACCAAGGTATTGGCTTTTCCTTAGCTTAGGTTATGATGGTGTAGCATTCAAGATGTGTGTTTTTGTGGCTCGTATGCTAGTAAGCCTAATCTAAGAATTATAGGTGTACAAACGAGGAGCTGTAGGCCGGTCTATTGACATCGGCAGGTACTCTGGATATGAAGAGTTGAAGCATGCTTTGGCTCGCATGTTTGGTATAGAGGGTCAACTTGAAGATCGACAGAGAATAGGCTGGAAACTGGTCTACAAGGATCACGAGGATGACATCCTGCTTCTTGGTGATGACCCATGGGAGTAAGTATATCTATCTTTCTCCTTATGTGAACCTTTAATTTCCTGCTCTAAAATAGGCCCCAAGATAATAAAGATTGCTAAAATTGACAGCTAAAGATATGTTTACCAGAGTGAAATATGGTTAATCCAGCATGATAATATGACAGAAAAATATGTTTATTCATAAACTGAAAAACAATGCGTGTACAAGATGTGCAAGTGAACTATTCGATGAAAGATTTTACTGGTTAGTTATTCTAATATGAGCTGTTGCGGATTATGTAGGGAGTTTGTGAACTGTGTAAGATGCATTAGGATTCTATCACCTCAAGAAGTGCAACAGATGAGCTTGGATGGTGATCTGGGGAGCAATGTCCTCCCCAACCAGGCTTGCAGCAGCTCAGATGGGGTGAATGGTTGGAGGCCTCGCTGTGACCAGAACCCCGGGAACCCTTCCATCGGCCCGTATGATCAATTCGAATGACCTGACTTAGAGGTTCATTCACATATGAAATATTTGACATCCCTGTCTTATTTTGCGTCCATTATGAATTCAGAATGGGATCAGAAGAGATGCAATGGCTACAAAAACCCAGCATAACTATCATCAAATCCGTGGCCTAAAAGGCTATGCGCCGAATTCAGTGTAGAGTGTCAGCTTATAGCTGGGAGGGCAAATGCTCCTCAGAATATTTCTTTTCCTCTTTTGATATATTGTGTAGTTTTTGCATTTGCAAAAAGTTAGAGATAAGAATGGAACTTACCTAGAGCTGTTAACGAGTTGAGACAGGGTTTAGGCGAAATTTAAGATAGTGTATTTTAGAGAAAACATTTGCCCTAACTGTTCTTGGGGTTGTTCAAGCCTCTATTAAGATCAGACCCAGATTAGAAACCACTATAGCAAATATTCTGCACCTTTCCTTCTTTATCCTGTCATCTTCTCTGCCAATCAATCAATTTCTGAATTGAAGATAGTTTGTTTCACATCATCACATGTAAAATATGGACTGATTCAAAAGCACAGAAATTATATGTATTTGCACTCAAGCTTATAAGCACTAAAATTGAAACCACTGCGAATTCTGTAACTGTTGTCTATCAATTAATGGTGTAAACATCTTATTTACAAACAAGAGGAGAACCATTTGACAATGCACATACAATTCATTGTTGAGTGAATCCTTCTGGACGAATGAGTGTTGAGCTTCAGGTCTCGGTCTTTGGTTCGAGCTGTTCCAGTTCCTCCATGAACTCTTGTGTCATCTTGACATAATCCTCCAAGTGCACCCTTTTCCATTCCTACAGATAACACATTGCACAGGAATTAAAGGTACCGAGGACATCACAATTCGACAACAGAAGATTCAAAGAAGTTGACAGCAGAAGAGAGAAGAGCAATGAATGAGCAGGGCTCAAAAGTCAGTAAACATTCTACACAGCTAATTGACCATGGAGTATAAGTCTACCAGTTCTTGAGTGTGTGCTCTATAATTAACCAAAAGATCTGACATGCCATTTCTATTCAGGTTCGAATTTGACCAACTGATTCACGTCTATGTTAAATGATTGATGACTGATTGAAGTTAGTGATCTTGGTCACTCAGAGGAACAAGGATTGCTGAACTGACAGTAGAACTAGAAATGGCTTTCTACGGATGCATATACTATTTCTGCAAGAGCTTGCAGCTCTCATGGTGTTGGCTGCCAGGTTGTTGCATTGGATGATTATGATAACATGGTTTCGCAAATACGTGAATTGAGTATCATTGTGTTAAGAACCATGATAGCATAGTGTTAGGACGTTATACACTGTTATGGCATATGGAAGTTTTTTTTTTTTTTAAAAAAAGGAAACATCCTCACCTCAAAGTCCCATTCACCATAGAGGTCAGGATCATCCTGATTGCCCCAAATGTATGCATAAGCAAGCAATTTCTCCGATGTGTCCTGAAAATCCAAACCATCCCATCTTACTGAAGCCATATGATGAAAAGAAGAAGCTAATCAAAACATTTCTCCTTCAAGACACAGGGTCCAATCTTGCTGAACATTCAGAATTTCAGTACAGCATGACAGACTGCTGAAGCAGCAATTTCAGGCAATCTAAACAATCGGAATTTGCTAAGTACATAGTAGAGATAGGCTTACAGTTAGTGATATCTCAACGGTTCTCTTGACATACTCCTCATCTTCAAATATATCCAGCACATTGAGCTCCCTGTCAGTGATGCCCTTGAAAACCTGCACAACATACATAAAAGAAGAGTACAGATTAACTGGCCTTAATTTTCTCCACATGCTGATTTAGCAACAAGCACTTGTGATTTTTCTCTTCACTTGACTCTTCAGCTTTCTTGAATCTTTGATTGCCTAACCGAGAGAGGAAGCAAGAGGGGCTTACCTTCCCTGAGACCTCCTTGCCGTCGACGGGAAGAATCGCCGGGTAAACGCGCCCCTTGATGCTGAACCTCTGGCTGCAGGAGACGGTGGCCGATCAGAATTTCGCAGCAGAGAGGAGGGGATTCTTGGCAAGAAGAAGAAGAAGAAACAGATGTCTCGTGGACGGACTGGTTTGGGAGGACGGCCGGGGAGGAGGACGGCGAGCGGCCGATGAGGACGCGCACCACCTCCTCCGCCATTAGCGTCCCGTAGACGAACACGCGGTGGGAAGCCGCCGCCGCCGCCATGGCGATGGAGGAAGGAAGAACACCCGAGGCGGCAGGAGGACGAAGGCAACTAACGAGCAGAGAGAAGCGGATGAGTCTATGACAGGTGGGGCCAGAGACCGATGAGTCTATGGCAGGCGGGGCCAGGATGCCAGATAAACAATCTTGGAGGTCAAATGGTCAATCGATCGGCGATGAGTCGACCAGACTCGCCGCGCCGTCGACACCGGCGAGCACACCGTCCTCATTCGGATTCGGATTCTGCCTTCCCGACCTGCCTCAACGCCTCGGATTCGCCGGTCGCCGGTGGTTGCTTCCATGGGCTCATCTACGCCTACGATGACCACGGCGGCGAGGACTAGCGCTACCGTGCTCTCCCGCCGCCTCCCTTCCAACCCGACTCCTGGTCGGCGGCGGAGGCGGCACCTACCGCTTCGACACGGCGCGCCGCCGACGACTGGACGCTGCCGTTCGATCGGCGGCCTCGCCGAGTACGTCCCGGAGCACGGCCTCTCACCGGCTAGTGATGGCAGTGGCATGGTCCTCTCTCTGCCACGGACCTTGACGCCGGCAAGCCGCCGGTGTGGTCGCAGCCTTCTTCCTCGGGATTACACGCTGCCCGGCGCGCTCAATCCCGTCGGCTCAGACCTCGTCGGCAGGTTCCTGCATCGCCAGGTTCTTGGAGACCGACGACGAACACCGTGATGGCCCGGAGCTGTTCGTGGTGTTCACCGCCGTCGAGGTGGAGCTCTGCGACGACGGCGATGCACAGGTCTCTGATGTATAAGCTCATCAGCAATATATTGTACTCCATTGGGTGCTAACAGCTTTGATTACAGCTGATTATTAATCATCGGAAAGCAAGTTTAGAGAAGCACCGTATATTTTCACTGAGCACCGTATGTCGTCTAAAAATAGTTATAACAGAAAAACTAGCCAACGGAATGCCGTAGGAACGGGAGAAGTGAAACGATATCCAATCTTATCTGTTCCCTTTCTACCTCTCTCTCCCGGAGCTTTGCTTGGTCGTCCTCCTCCTTCGCCTCTCCTCCTCTACGCCTCTCTCCCTCTCTAACTCCTCTCTTCATTCCTAATTAATGTGGCTGGGCAAGTACTCACTGCAAGCCCTGCGACAAGACCAGAGCGGTGTTAGCTCTCGTTGTGCGGAACATCACATCGTTGATGGTGGTCATGGGAACTCTCGTGTACTAGGTGCTTAGGAAGAGCTTCAATGAGTTCGAGCTAGGAGGAGAGATTGAGGTGTCCGTCCTACTGTCACAGGCGATGTCCATAACCATCATGGTCACATGCGTGTCGAGGATGTAGCAGCGGCGATCCGAATCAAGGATGGCAACAAGAAGGAATAGTGTTCTTCCACCTCCAAGGAAGATAGCCATCTTATTTTTGTGCTTGCCTCGTCTCTTTTCCCTTTTTCTCATAGCTCCCATCGGCATGAGGGCCTAATATCCATGAAACATGCTTGATACCCACAAGATACCTAATGCTTAGGTATCGAGTTTCTAATACATAGGTATCATGTAACTGGTACCCAGATTGTTTCGACTGATATCATAGGTATCAGGCCTGATACCTAGGGTAGCAAGGTACCTGGTACCTAGATCGGCATGAATCCCATAGGTACCAGATCTGGTACTGGGCATCGGGTACCTGGGGTATCATATACCTGGTACCTAAACCAGCCTGATACCTGGGGTAGCAAGGTACCTGGTACCTAGATCGGCATGAATCCCATAGGTGCCATATTTGGTACTGGGCATTGGGTACCTAGGGTATCAGATATCTGGTATCTAGACCAGCCTGATACCTGGGGTAGCAAGGTACCTGGTACCTAGATCGGCATGAATCCCATAGGTACCAGATCTGGTATAGGGCATCGAGTACCTGGGGTATCAGATACCTGGTACCTAGACCAGCCTGATATCTAAAGGTACCATACCTAGTACTAAGATATCATGGTACATGGGGTATTCGGTACCTGGTACCATCTGAGTACGTTGGGTACCTAGGTATCATATACCTGGTACCTAGACCAGCCTGATACCTAAAGGTACCATACCCAGTACTAGATATTATGATATATGGGGTATCCGGTACCTGGTACCACCTAAGTATCGAGTACCTAGTGTGTTGTGTCTCTAGTGAAAGACTGAAAGACAACCATAAGCCTGTAGACTCTCACGTGATTATGTGAACATACACTGACGCTTTGACCCTTGTATGGAATTACGTGAAGTGGATAGATTGACAGAAGTGGTTGATTGGTCAAACAATAATCCTCATTAAGTTATCCCGTTAGGACGGGAGTCCGTGGTGTAGCAGTCCTCTAGTTATAATTATCTACAGTTCACACATAGCTTTAAATATTATTCACGTCCAGATCACACGCCCTCGCCTTCCTCCCTTCCCACCCGCCGCGTCCCCCGGACGCCCCCGCACTCACCCCTCTTCTCCGCCGCCACCAGAGTGGACCTCGTCGGTGGCCAACTCCTCCTCCCCTCTCTCCACTCCATCTTCCTCCGCCATTCCCTTCCCATCATCTGTCCGCCGCCGGTGACTATCCGATTCGCTTATGTTGAAATTATAAGCACATAATGATTTAATTTATTCCATAAATAAATCATGACATTGCAGATATAAACTAGCATGAACGCATCATTAGGTCTACATATGTAAACTAAACAGTAAAATATGAACAGATCAAATATGCGCAACATGTCGAACACGTACCGAGGTGGCGGAAAGACCGGTTGCTCGGCAGGGACTACTCGCGGTTGCAGGCGTCGACGAAGGTGCGCAGCACGCGAGCGAAGAGGAAGGCGAGCCATCGCGGACGAACAGGGAGCAGTCGCGCGAAGCGCTTCCCAAAAACCTTATTTCCGCCTTCTCCCGGTGCATGACGTCGAAGGCAGAGGTTCCGGAGATCTGCTCTCCCGATCGCCGGTGCACACCGGCGAGCGGGATGGAGTAGTCTATGAGCGATGGCGCAGCACAGAGTAGGAGGCAAACCGTAGATTGTTCCGGAGATCTACTCTCCCGATCGCCGGTGCACACCGGCGAGTGGGATGGAGTAGTCTACGAGCGATGGCGCAGCACAGAGTAGGAGGCAAACCCTAGATTGATTTTGCGTGTGTTGCGTGAAGGCGGCGGCTCGGTTTATATAGAGATAGATCGCTTGATCAGGTGCAGCACAGAGTAGGAGGCAAACCCTAGATTGATTTCGCGTGTGTTGCGTGAAGGCGGCAGCTCGGTTTATATAGAGATAGATCGTATGATCAGGGCGCCCGCATGATCTCCACTCCGCGTAACCGAATCGGATAAGTCGCTTTGCAACGAGAAAGATCGTTTGGCTTCGTGAAAACCCTAGTTATTCGTGGTGGGGGAGAAGAAGATCCAGAGCAATCCAATCCAATCAATCCAATCAATCTTTAGTAAGATTACTTCATTTTGGGGACGATCATCGATTCATCCGATCGATCGACGATGAGTGTTCGTCGGTTTGTTCATCTGGTGCTGGAGGAGTTCGCCCCACGCCGCAGCAACTACACGCTGCGGAACATAGACATGGACCGCTTCTTCCTCCCACGTCCATCTCCGGTGCCATCCGCCGCCGCCGCCGCCGACGCGGTGGAGTACGGCAGCCTGCCATGCCCGGCCATGACCTTCTACCCTCCCTCCTCCAGCTTGTCCGGGAACCAGAACATGGAGTTCTTCCTCCTTGGAGGCAACCACAACATGGTGGTCGCCGCCGACCAGAGCTGCCGCACCGTCCTCTACGACCCCGGCGAGCACGCCGTCCGCACCATGCCCGCCCTCCCCTACCAGGTGACATTGCCTGCCACCTCTGTCACCGTCGGCGACGACCTCTACATCCTCGATGTCGACGACGGTGGAAGCTTCCATGGGCTCATCTATGAGGATGGATTGAACGAGGATTGGCGCTGCTGCGCGCTCCCGCCGCCGCCGCTGTCCGACTTCGAAGTCGACTCCTACGCTGTGATCGGTGGCACGGACATCTGGTTATCCACGCACGACAATGGCGGCATCTACTGCTTCGACACGGTGCGCCATGCGTGGAGCACAGTGGCCACAAGATGGACGCTGCCATTTGTTGGTCTCGCCGAGTATTGCCATGAGCACGGCCTTTGGTTTGGCCTCTCACACAGCACCAGAGACAGGAGGAAGAGGAGCTTGGTGCTCTCCGCTCTGGACCTTGATGGCGGCGAGCTGCCGCTGCTTCGCAGCTTTCCTATGGAGTTCACACCGCCAGACGCCCTCAATCTTGTCAGCTCGGACCTCGTGAACCTGGGCTCCGGCAAGTTCTGCATTGCCAGGTTCTTCCGCACCGATGAGGATCATCGCGATGGCGAGGAGCTGTTCGCTGTGTTAACCGCCGTCGAGGTGGAGCGCTGCGATGACGATGAGGATGATGCTGGTGGTGGTGCCAATGGTGGAGGGCTCCGCATGCTGAAGCACAGGTCTGAGATGTACAAGCTCACCAGCGAAATGATGTATTGGGTGCTTTAGTTATCTGGCCAGGGGCCTCAAATCACTGAACCAACCACAATGATTTGAGGCCCTACTTTACTCTAACTGAGCTAGGAAGGATCGATTAAAGGTTTTTATCATAGTCAACTTGCTGGGTGGCCCGCGCAAGGCTAACGCCTATACACAATTATTTTTTTATATGATTTTACTTAAACTTTATTAAATAACCACCTCGTTGTCTTATAAGACTATAAAAGACCAAATCTTAAAATCCCCATGTTTCTAATTTTATAGTAGTTTTTAAAAAGTCACACCACTTACTATCCCTTACTTCTGTCATATCCTTTTTTATTTGCTTGCTCGGTCTTCCACTGTTCCTATTCATTCTCCTTGTAACCTTTAAAAATTGGATCTTATAGTTTTTAGAGTTTATTGTCTCGTTGGGTTTCGTATTTAGATTTTTTTTATAAGTTCTGTCAAACGTTGTCATTATACTCCTCTACGGCCAGTCTGCTGCATCTTCGGTATTTTCAAAATCGAATATAATTATCGTTTAGGTTCTTTCTACTTTATAGAAGTTCCGCCAAAATGTTCGTGGATTTGTCGCTGTACTCCTCTACGGCTCGCCCGCTGCCTCCCTTCTTTATTGTCATTGAGATTTTAAAATCAAACATAATTATCATTGGAGTTTATTTTTTAAAACTTTTTAGAAGCCCGAACCTTTTAAAATTGGACCTTATAGTTTTTAGGGTTTATTGACTCGTTGGATTTTATTTTTTATAATTTTTAGAAATATCGTTAAACGTTGCCACTATACCCATCCGCCGCTTATTTTTTATTGTTGTTGGGATTCGTAAAATCGAACATAACTATCGTTGGAATTCATTTTTTTACTTTCTAGAAGTCCCATCAACTATTGCCGGCTCTGCCATTGTACTACTGTACGACCCGCCCGTTGCCTATCATTTTTATTGTCATTGAGATTTTAAAAATTAAATATAATTATCATTGGGGTTTATTTTTCGACTTTCTATAAGTCCCGCCAACCGCCTTAACCGGTTGCTTTACGACCTATCCATCATCATTCATTTTAATCGTCATTAAGATTATATTTGGTGTTTTATTAATAATTTTTACATGTCCCATCAACCGCCACCACTATACTCATTTATATGCTTATTACTTAATTAATCTCGTCATGTGTTTTAGATGGTCTTTTCTTTCAATAGTCTTTATTTTTTATCATCAATTTTAGTTATTTATAAATTGTATTCCTAGTTGAAATCTTATTTTTATTTTTCTAATTTAAGAATTTATTTTATTTTTTATTTTGAATATTAACTAATATTGAATTGTGTTATTTTAATATTTTTATTTTTTATTTTTTATTTTTAATTTCAGTTGTTTCAAAATTGTATTCCTTCCTGAACTCTCTTTTTAATTTGTCCAATTTTGGATTTTATTTTATTTTTCATTCTAAATTTTAATTAATCTCGTATTGGGTTTTTATATGTACTATTATTTCAATATTGTCTATACTTAATTCCAACTTTCAGTACTCTTCTTTTATTTTATTTTCTATTTTCTATTTTTTATTTTTATTCTGAATTTAAATTAATCTCGTATTAGGTTTTTTATATGGACTCTTCTTTCAATATTTCATAATTTTAATTTCGAATTTTATTTATTTTTAAATTATATTTCTGCTCGAATTCTTCTTTCTTTTTTTTTTGCTAATTTCGGATTTTATTTTATTTTTTATTCTGAATGTTAATAAATCTCGTATTAGGTTCTTAAATGGACTCTTTTTTCAAGAGTGCTTATTTTTAATTATGAATTTCAGTTATTTTAAATTGTATTTCTAGTTGGACTATTCTTTTCTTTTTCTCCGATCAATATGGGAATTTTTAGCCTCCAAAGCAAACGTGGTGCCTCCTTTCAAAACTGTATGGCACAGTAATATAATAAAATGGTTTTAGAGGGAACCATTTGAATATGTGTCCGATCTTTTGAGTTGTGTCATTGTTGTTATTTGTAATCGTTTTGTGATCAGATATGGCGGTAAATTTTATTTTGTTTCAGTCAATTTTTTTATCGTTAGAGTTATCCTGGGATTCATGCTATTTGGGGGTTCTCAAAGGAGAGGACAGCTCTCAGAGCGGAGTGCTTGATGTAGTTAATTGCATGTGTTACCAGTCATGATGCATGGATACGTGATATTGGTACGGTGATACGGGAATTTTGAAAAACATCAACATGACGATACGGTGAGTATATAAAAAATATTTTTAAAAAACTAAAATATAGAGAAGGTAAAACAATAAGATTACCTTAACAAAACAAAATTCTATGCATTGTTGCCTCTTACAAACAAGTAACAAGCTTAACACCTTGTAACCTTAAATAATAAATATGGTCAGTACTAAACTTATAAAATATATTAGTAGTGTAGCATTGGGGTTTTAATGGGCTATTGAACAAGTGGTTATAGGGCTAGGTATCAGAGAAGTATCCAATAAGTATGGTACGAGTATCGTTAATTATTTTTTATTTTTTCACTGTTTAGTGTCCGTGTCCGATACTCCTTCGATACCGTATCGATGGAGTATCCGATACACGTACGGCAAGAAAATAAAGTATCGGTGTTTCACACTCAGTGGTGAGTATGGGTGTTCTTTTAGTATTTGGTGAGGCTTCCATGTCTTCTCCCACTCGTTGTAGCCTTCTGCCAGCAGTGAGTGATGATGAGTCTGCATCTTCTTGCTCTTTGACCAGTGTGGTCACGCTGTGTGCGCTTTTGGGTTGGTTTGCCCTCTACGGTTATGGGGTAGGGATGTAGGGTGTTGATTTTGAAGTCATGCTGGGAGAGAGTGACGGAGGAAGGTGGTTTCAGGGCTTAGTGAAATGAAAATTTTTGGGTGTCACATCAGACGTTTAACCGGATGTCAGAAGGGGTTTTCGGACACGAATAAGAAAACTAATTTCATAACTCGCCTAGAAATCGCGAGACGAATCTTTTGAGCCTAATTAATCCGTCATTAGCACATATGGGTTACTGTAGCACTTATGGCTAATCATGGACTAATATGCTCAAAAGATTCGTCTCGCGATTTACATGCAAACTGTGCAATTAGTTTTTTTTATCTATATTTAATGCTCCATACATGTGTCCAAAGATTCGATGTGATGTTTTTAGGAAAAGTTTTTTGGGAACTTAACAACCCCTCAGTTTCTCGAGAGTGGGTTTTAAACTATCGAGGGAACGTCTTCTTGTCGTTTACATGTCACTCAAATGCTTATGAAAAAGTTTGAAAAAAATTGAGAAGATGTATTAGCATGTGATATATCACTCCACAAACATGTAAATTCAAATTCAAATTCTACATGTCGCAACGAAAAAACAAATTTGACTGTGAATATACGTTAACTAGGTGTAGTTTAATTTGTTTTTTTCGTTGTGATATGTAGAAATTGAATTTGAACTTGCATGTTTGTGGAGTTATATATCACATGTTAATATATCTTTTTTTTTAATTTTTTTCACAACTATTTGAGTGACTGTTCATAGCAAAATTTGACATATTCCATTGAGTAAGGGGAAAGCACAGAGTGGTATTGACGGCATGATTTTGGGATCTAAAGTTAGAAGATTGCATCGACTAAAGCTATATCGGCTAGAATATATCAGCGGCAGAGCTATAGAAGATGCCGATAGAAGTTGGACAGTAGCCAGAAGTCAACTCTTTGTCGGACTCGATATCTCAAGATTTGGCGATATTATAAGGGAAGTCGAGTTCGAGGAAGATATCGTGGGAAGTGTTTTATATTGTAAAAAAAAAAGAGTTTTATTTTGAGCTTCGAACCTCAACCGCTCATGCAAAATCATACAATATTGTATTTCTTTCACACAAAAAACCATCTCGTTCTCCTCATTTATGCCATCTGATTGGCTTTGCATGTTGCCCATCAGATGAGTGACACATGACGAAATGTAACCCGTGCATAGGAAGTGTTATAAAAAAAACGAGCTGAGATTTCAGAAAGAATCGCTGATATTTGTTTTTCTGTTTTTAAGTCCTTTTTAGAAAGACTTGTAATAATTTTTTTATTTATTAAGTGTTGGGTATATATAAGATGTGGGATGATAAGGTATGGGCGGTGTGTTCATCATCACCTAACATTGGTTCATACAAAGAAAAATAATGTATATTGGTTAGGATTTGTAAAATATTTGATATCTCAAAATGTACCTCTAATCTAAGCTTTGAGGCTTATGATCGAAGAGTTTTAACGAAATTAGGATTGTTGTTAGAGTTTCAAGAGTAATATTATAGGAAGTTTAAAATATATGATTCTAATACAAGATTATTTAGGGCTTAATTTAAAAAACTATATATTTTTAGCATACATCGAATATCTTTTAAGTATTTGATTCTAATAAAAGATTATTTGGGGTTTAATTTTAAAAACCATATATTTTTTAAGCATACATCGAATATCTTTTAATTACCTCAAATTATTTGAATTTTCATACATCTAATCCTTAATATAAAATACTTTTAACTCTAACATAATATGTCCTCAAAACAACTGATATTATCATTGTATTTTCTTTCATTCTTTAACATATTGTGAGTGAAAATTTAAAACATATTAATTACGTGGATTATAATTATGAAAATTAGACTAGATTTTAAAAAAACTACAAAAAAAATCTAAATTATGAAGGAAAAACCTAATTAACATGCAAATTTTGTTAAAATAAACATGTATTCTATTTCATCCCTTACACTGTGCGTGTGCTTAAAAAATTTATATACATTTTTTTAGATATTACTACGTATTATCAAATATAACTAAAATAATATGTGATTACTTTATTTGAGATTTATTAATACAGACACATATTATTAAATATGTTCCGTCTCACGCACGTAAATTGGTGTGCCACTAGCTTTTTATATTTATTTTGTCAATAAGATGTTTTTATTATGAAAGCATAAGTGAATGATAGATATTAAGTTGATAGAAATCGTCTTCTCTCTTTGGCTGCTCGGACAACTATCACTTGAATTGTCCTGCACTTTCAAAACAAATATATGCTAGTGACATGAGTGACATATACATTATCCTAACTGTACAAGAATTCAGCAAACACGAAGCATTGGATTGGTTTGATTCGTTATTTTCTTTCTTTTTTTTCGTTTTTGTTATGTAGGAAGCCACGTGAAGTGCACGGTATATTTCACAGCATTTACCCGCTAACATGGAGTACCCGACCAGTATCCGACTTCCCAATTTTTTGATGGCTCATAACTATTTTCTCTAATTTTATTTTCAATGGCTCGTGACTATTTATCTGTGATGATATATAGACACGTACTTCGTCCCGAAAGAAGCCAACCTACTTCTAGTATAGCGGATCTGAATATATTCATAAACATATAAACAAATAGGGCCGTTTTGATTTGCTACCAAAACTGAGACATACCAATATTTTGGTTATTGGAATAGTAAACTGGCTAGTTTGGATTGTGATCTAATCAATGGTAGTGCCTAAATTTAAATTGGTAGCAACGGCTAAATTCAAATTGATATTGTCATCGGCCGGAAGTGCCTAGAAGTAACCCCACACAACTACCATTGTAATTATTTACGCTATATAATTACCATGATGAGCAAAATGAACCTAATTATGCATATTTCTTATCATCTTATTTGTGCTTATTCTGCAACAAATAGTAACAAAGCTATTACTACCAAAAAAATTGGTAGCGCTTCATTGGTACCAATCCAAATGGAAATTGACCCACAAAAATTTGACACCTTATTGGCATTAATCCAAACTTTCATATGTACTATGTTACCCTACCAAAACCTTGGTAGTGCCAAAACTTGCCTATGGCACTACCAAAATTTTGGTAGGATACTAAAAGCCTATTTGGATTGTTATCCTATCAATTTTTCTGGTAGTGCTAAAATATATGTAAGTTTTGGCACTACCTAATCTTTGGTAAAGTAAGATTGTATTTGATCATATTTGGTTTGCTACCAACAAAATATAGTCAAAATGTGAAATTACAGTGAAGAATGTTCTAGATGATGCCAAATCTAAATTATGTATTAGTAATGAACAAATCAAACACAATTACCATTCAAATTACCAATATATTGATAGAGCATATTTTTTAGCAATCTAATAGACCCTAAACCAAATGAGCCTATAGCCAACCTACTTCTAGTACAACGAATCAAAATATATTCATGAACATATATTCAGGATGTGTCATATCCAGTACTATGTTGATATTTTTAATGGATGGAGGGAGTATATGGTTAGAGGTTACGGGCTTATTTAGTTTGGAATCAATTTTTGTACTATCAAAGTTAGTTTTGGCACTATCAAATTAGGTAGTATTGAATTTGAACTATTATGGGTAAATTTGGTAACAAATCAAACATGCACTTGCTACTATTAAAGTTAGTAAAAATTTTAGTAGGGTAATAAATTGGTATCAAACCAAACAAGCCCTACATCATCATACAGAACATAGAGAAACAATGAGTCATGAAACTTGAAGAGGGTTGATTTGGTTTGTGACATAAATTGGCCTTACCAATTTTTATCAATGCTAAATTCTGACAAGTTTATAGCTAATTTTAGTAAGACAATTGTATTTGAATTGAAGCCAAAATAGTCTAAGTTAACTTTTAAAATGGCATATTTCTTAAGCATGCCAAAATTTGGCTTCAAACCAAAGACACTAAACACTATTGAAACTACCAAATTTTGACAAATTTTGACATGGCTAATTTTAGTAAGACAAAGTTGTATTTGAATTGAAACTAAAATAGTCTACGTTAACTATTGAAATGGCCTATTTTTTAGGCATGCCAAAATTGACTTCAAACCAAAACCAAATAGGCACTAAACACTATTTAAATTACTACTCCCTTCATATTAATGTGTTAAAAATATTTGACCATTCGTTTTATTCAAATTTTTCTTGTAAATATGAAAATATTTATGTCATGCTTAAAGAACATTTGATGGTGAATCAAGTCACAATAAAATAAATAATAATTACATAAATAATAATTACATAATTTTTTTAAAGAACATATGATGAATCAAGTCACAATAAAATAAATAATAATTATATAATTCTTTTAATAAAACGAATGATCAAATGTTGAAAAAAAAGTCAATAACGTCATATATTATAAATAATAATTACATAATTCTTTTAATAATACGAATGATCAAACGTTGAAAAAAAAGTCAATAACGCCATATATTATGAAGGACGTCATATATCATGAAGGTAGTAATATACAAATAGACACTCTAAACACTACATATATTATGAAGATAATATACAAATAGACACTAAACACTAAGACCAATTTACGCCTCAAAGCAAACAACAAAGCAAACCAGCCCGAAACCAGACAGATACAGATACTCAGAAGATACTCAGAAGCTGCTACTGATCTTGTTCTTGACATAAATATAGTTACAGCCTTTTTTTTGGATTTTCGGATTGTTCTCCAAAATCACCATCCAAACTCACCGGCCAAAAGATTAGTACAGCACTAAAACTAGAACTCTAAACATCTCCTAAACTCGTCTACTAATTGCACCAAAAGCCCACTGAACACTGAAACTAGTTCTACATTCTATGCACACTGACACTATCTGTCGAGCTGATCACTTGTGCATATTGTCTCTAGTCCCAACTCCCGGACAGCAGCGGCTTCACGTCGGCGACCTCGCCGAACATCTTCACCAGGTCCGAGCACTTGGCGGCGGCGGCGCCATCACCTTCGAGGTCGGCCTCGGCGTCGGTCTCGGTCTCCAGCTCGAGCCCCAGCTCCTCCTCGACGTCGTCGGACGCGGCGATCAGCAGGAACTCGCACCCTTCGTAGTTGAGCAGGTCCGGCGGGTCGGCCGGCGCGTAACGGTGGTTGCTCCCGAACCGCCCCTGCAGGTGCGCCGGGAACGCCGCCCTGCGCTTGCTCTGCAGCCCGCGGAACCCGCCGTCGCCCCCGCCGCCGGAGGGTGGCGGCTGCTCGGGGTTCTTGATCTGGATGAGGTAGGACGCCTCCGGCTCCACGTTCATGGCCTCCTGCGGCTCGCCGGCCTCGTCGGCTTCGGCGTCGTGCTCGCGGCGACGCGCCGGCAAGGGGAGCTCGAGCTTGTAGACGAGGTGGGTGTGAACGCGGCGCCCGGAGTCGTGCTTCAGGATGCGGTACACGCCCTCCCCCAGCGCCCTCGCCGCCGCCCTCCGCCGCGTCCCGCGCGTCGCCGTGCTGTACTCCTCTGCAAAATCGATCGCAACAAATTCATACATAAGAAGTTCACATTTCGATTTGGAACAACGAAATTAAAATTTGAATGCGTTTTGTACCTTCCTTGAGCGCGTCTTTGATGTGTTCGACGTCGGTGGTGACGAGCTCGACGTAACCCCAGTACGGGCGGCCGCGCTTCGCCGCCGGGTCCGGCAGGCTCTTCTTCCCCATCACGATCAGCCGGAGCAGCGCCTGCTCCTCGACGTTCACCTCCTGCAATGCAACAACACCGGCATCCATCAAATTTAACCTGAAAATCTCTGAAAAATCTGCAACTCTCTGTCACCGAGACGACCTCCTTGCCGTGTCCGCCTTCGCCGCCGCCATCGCCGTCGCTGTTCTGCGGCTGCTGATTCTTGTGGCCCTCCTTGCCGGAGTCCGGCGCCTGCTTGTCCTCGACGGCGCGGTCGCCGCCGTCGCCGGTGGCCTCGGGGCGGAGGACGATGTACATCCGCTGCACGTCGTCGGGGCCGCGCGCCTCGTCCTTGCCGACCTTGGGACGATAGAAGAAGAAGATCTCGCCCTTCTCCTGCATCCCATCCCACCACATCGATCGCCATTAATCCACTCCGCAAGCTAAGCTAACACTGATCTGAACTAAACTGTAAAAAAGAAATACAAAATGCGATCAAATGGGGAGAAATTAATTAAATTAAGCAGCAAACCTAACCTGGATCTCCACCTTGGGATCCGGCCTCGTCTTCACCTCCTTGCCGTGCCCCATGATCGCTCGCTTCTGTCGGATCGATCTCGATTTGCTCTGAAAAAAATACCCAAGATGCAAGTATAGTTTACTCCATAGCTGAGAGCTTGAGAATTGAGATAAGTAGACGGTGCAAGCACAGGAGCTTGCTGACGCGTGTGCAGAGACGTGTAGTATCCTGGAAGCGTCTCGGCGGCCGCCGCGTGGCCGACGGACGGCGAGACACGTCGGCCGTCGGGCATGGGCCGTGGCCCAGAGTGAACGGCCGATATTGGGCTTTGGTTCTCATGGGCCTACCCGCTGCACGCCCAAGCGAGAATTCGGGCCGTATTATATCTGTGGATAAGTCTATTTTGTGTCTCTCAACTTGTATCCCTTGATTTAATCGCCTCTCCCTTAACCGCAATACCGGTGTAACATCTCCTCCGTCTTAAAAAACCGGAGCAAATTAAGTCCCTCGTCTGTTTTAATAGCGGTTTGGTCCGTGGTGCTCATGGACCCAAAAATTTAAAAGGAATAACAGGCCTACATGTTAGGCTGAATAGGACAATGAACAACCAAACATTAAACTAGAAATGAAAACCACTACATCGATCTCTCTCTAAATCAGGACTTTATGATTGCTAGTTGCCATAGACATCGATCGATCCCAACATCAAGGCCACTAACTAGTACTAGCACTTGGTTTCTACACATAGCCAGCTTGATCAGCTAAACACATCATTATTGCAGAAATGCAGAGCCAATTCGTATTACTGGGCCAGTTTCGATTGCTACAAACCAAACACCTCTATTAAAATACTACTTATGCTATAAATTTAGCTTTGCCCATAAACTTGCTAAATGTTATTTTATCAGAATATTATTATGTGTGGTCTAGTTTAAAGATTTAATTGCAACTAATTCAATGGTACAATCAAATTTTAATCAGATAAGCAATTTAAGAGAAAATATAGTTTATAGTTTATTAAAGAGGTGGCTATATGTGTACCTAGAAGAGAGGAGAGAGAAGCTATTGGCTTAACACTAGAGGCTAAGGGGACAACGGAAGGGTGTGAGGGTGCCCGATATATTTTTACCCGAATCGGGCGTCCGGCCCAGAGCAATCGCGACAGACATGTGTCATATAAAATCAGATCTCCTACCGTAGATGCCAACCACGGGTGTGTTTAATTCACGCCAAAATTAAAAGTTTGGTTGAAATTGGAACGATGTGACGGAAAAATTGGATGTTTGTGTGTGTATGAAAGTTTGGATGTGATGGAAAAGTTGGAAGTTTGAAAAAAAAATTTGCAACTAAACACGGCCCACGTGACTTTCTTTAGACAGTTCAGAGTTCCGGATCGTCAGGTTCAACAAGATTTGCAGCATTGAAATTGAAATTCAGGGGATTTAACATTTTAACACTTTTTAATAGATCAGTTTAATCCCTCTCACAATCGCATCTCTCACAAAACGGCAAATCTATTGACACTACCCATCCAGAGTGGCAAAACATTAATTATTCCAAAATTCAGTGGTAGAAGCAACAAGTTCAGGTTCTAATATCTTGATTCTCTTTAGATAGATAAAGAAAATGGTCATATTGATGTATGAAGAAATATTCTTTGGTTCGGGTTCAGTTGCTAGTAAAAAAATACAAAAGGTTAAGCAGAAAATAAAATGAAGAAAATCAACGGGTTAAAAAAAATTTAGGAGAAGGTTAAAAAAAATGAAGAAACATTAAGGGTGTGTTTGGATAATGGGATAAGAGTAGTGGGATTGAGATAGGGAAATGGATGAAGGCTAGGATGAAATGAGGGAGGGATAATGGATGGCTAGGATTTGAAGAAACTCTTTGGTGGGTGGAAAATTATTTTCCTAATCATTAGCTAAACATGACCTAAGGAGTAATAGCGACTAGCGACCACCATGGGTTTACGTCAGTGTAGAGTGATTCGATCAACTTCAAATCCATAGTAACATCCTGCTCTTTAAGGTCGGTTTTAGTGTAGCTTGAGGGGACATTTGCGTCCAAACAAAAAGACGGATCGATGAAAATATGTCAATGCCGCCGGGAGTTCTCTTTTTCAGTAGCTAACCGTTTCCGTATTTGTTTTTTTTTCTTTTTTTCCTCTTGGCCCCTGGCAACGGCCTTCTGAATGTTTGTTGTGTAACTAAACTCTGCTATCTTCTTCTAATATATTAACGTGCGATTTTTTTGAGCGTTCGCGAAAAAAAAAATATGTCAATGCCGCCAGACGACGACGACCACAAATGGCACGAATCAGATTTGACAAGAATACCTGTAACATGATTACGAATAGATGATTATTAAATGCATTTATCTAAAATGGTAATTTTTTAAGGGTTAATTGGATCCATGCCACTGTAAATATGCCAATTCGAAAAAATACTACTACTATTCGCGATATCGGCTACGTGCCACTGAAATTTAGGGAAATTGGAATCATGTCACTTCCGTCCAGTTTTATGTCAACCGCCGTTATCTGTCTCCTTCTTCTTTTCTTCGCTTCTCCGCCATAGACACCGGTGAGCACTCCACCTCAGACTCGCTGGTCCTTGCCACTGCCTACTGCAGCTAGTCAGGGGTCCCCTCTCTATCTCTCGCTACTTCTCCGCCAACAGCCGCCGCGACCTGTCCATTCCTCATCGTCCCCGCCGGCGGACGTGGCACCCTCGCTGCCGTCGTCAAGGGAATCAGCGGCCAGGAAGCTTCTCCGGCATGGACGACGGTGAGCCCAGGAGGACGACCGCTGAGGGGAATCGGCGACCGGGGAGCCGAGGGCGAAGCCCGGCAGGACGAGCGGCACGGGGGAAGGAGATCGGTGACGGCAGCGGCGAGGGTTGGGGACGGCGACATGGCGGTGGACGGGGTGGCAATCGGCACATGGGCAGTGGCCGGGGCCCTCGCCGGGGGAGTAGATGATGACAACGCAGGCGCAGCCCGGCCCGCCGACTCCGAGACGAGGCGCTCGACAACGACGACAAAGTGCAGCCCGGCTTCGAGATGAAGCGCTTGACGACGACGACGACGCAGGCGCAGCCCGGCCCGACCCCCATCTCTGAGACGACGACGGCGACGACACCTCCTACTGCATCTATGGTGGTGGAGAGAGAGGAAAAGGAAAGAGAAGAGAGGGGAGGGAGGTGGGGCCCACGTGCAGTTGGGGGCTAACAGGGATTTTTGACGGAAAATGTGATGGAGTGGCACGGTTCCAATTTCTCCAATTTTCAGTGGCATATGTAGCCGATATTCTGAATATTAGTGGCATTTTTTAATTGGCATATTTGCAGTGGCATGGATCCAATTAACCCTTTTTTAATGGCACCATCAAATTTAACCTTAACATTGTGGGCTACCGGGGGAGCATACCAAATTACCAACTACAATCTAATTTAATGATTTTTGAAATGACCCAGTTAATGATCACTTGATGGCATATTTCTTCTGTTATAGAAAAACCCAACTGCTTATGTCTAACTCACGGTTTCCCTTATCGCCGGTAACCACGTGGTTACTGCGGTTATCGTCCTAACCGTGGGGGGGGGGGGGTATACCATAGGGGTTACCGGTGATAGGGTTTGATGAAATTTGTCCAAATTCAAAATTCTGAAAAAAATTGAAAAAAATTCATGGAAGTAGTTCTTGGTTTGTAGTGGCAGATGGTGAAGAATTTTTTTTGAAAAAGAATAAGATAAATTCAAATTTGAGGGCAAAACCAAAAGTCAATTAGAAAATGAAAAGAAATGGAATGGGCCTTGTTTGGCACTGTTACAGATAGCGCATTAAGGCTCATAAGAGAAGAAAATATCTCCTGGGTTGTTGGGGGCTCTCCTCACGCTCTTCCTCCGCAGAAAAACTAATTCGCGCAGACGCGTCAGTTGGTTATCTCGCGCACGTTGCCCACACATGCCCACATGCGACTTTTAGGTTTTTTTTTCGATTTTTTCCATATACGCATGATTTCCTCTTTTCCGGATATTTTTTTTGTGATTTTTTTCATGAACTTCTTTTAATCTAAGCGCATGATTCAACTCAAATTTGGAGTCAAAAGTTTTCAAAATTGTAGTTAGAAGTTTTAAATTTTTAGTTTGAATATTTTTAAATGTAAGATAAATGTTTTTAATTTTGAGATGAAAGTTTTCAAATTCGAGTTGAAAGTTTCAAATTCTGAGTAGAATGTTTTCAAATCCGAATTGAAAGTTTTTAAATCTAAGTTGAAAGATTTTAAATCTCGACTTAAAATTTTTCAAATTTGATTTGAAAGTTTTCAACTCTCGATTTAAAGTTTTCAAATCTCGATTTGAAAGTTTTCAAATCTCGAGTTGAAAAGTTTTAAAATATGAGTTGAAAGTTTTCAAATCTGGACTGAAAGTTTTTAAATCTGGGTTGAAAGTTTCAAAGTTGAGTTGAATGTTTTTCAAATTTGAGATGAAAAGTTGAAAGTTTTCAAAATTTGACTTAAAAATTCAAATTTCGAGTGAAAATTTTCAAATCTAGATTTAAAATTTTGAAAATTTGACTTCAGATATAGATTTCTTTTCAATTTGTTAGTTTAAAAAAATCCTAACTACTACCGTCATTATCTCAAACTGTAATTATCTAAAACTAATTGAATAGTTAACTACCTTTTAGTCCCGGAAAACGGGGACATCTAACTCCATGCCACTTTTAAGATGTGGCAATTAATTATTCGCCACTCGCTGTCTATGACATGTGGGCCCTCATGTGTCTATGATATGTGGGTCCAGTGGCAAATAATTAATTGCACCACTCGTAAGTGGCAAATAGTTAATTATTCCCGGAAAACGTGCATCGGGGGCGCACACGCGCCAACTAGGCGCCCCCCTTTCTCTGTTGGCAGACTTGGCACAGGGTGAGGGAGGCAGCAGCGGCGCCTAATCCGCCGCATACGAGCCGGCGAGCATGAAAATCGCGCGGTTTCTGAGGTAACCGCAACTAGGGAGGAGGTTATCGCCTAGGAGAAGTGCCTCGAGGTAACCCTCATCCTCCTCGCGGTTACCGCTGGCAGTGGATCTGTGTTTTATGCAAGGAAGTGGTGATAATCGTCCCAAATTGCACGGTAACCGTGGTTCCTATAGCAGTTATCGCGTGGA